TTACGGCGTAATTAAATTCGCACTGTGAAAGACTTTATTGTTCATTACGGTAGTGCTTTTGTTCACATTAAAAGTTATGGTGATACTAATTAATATGAGTGTCACTTATCCTCGATTGGGAAATAAGTATGAGTAATTACGTTTTACGTTTCCTATTTTCGTTATGGAATTTAACGATATTGTGTTTTTGAAAATCTAAATTATAATGAATTCTCACTTGACCATTAGTAGTACCTAGTCTATGTATTAATTTGAAATATCTAAAGCAAATAATGACTGCTTCCATTATCACAATTCGTTAATCATAAAGAAAGACAAATTGTAAGCTATAGAAATCAAAACACAAAGTAAAATAAGTCTCAAAGGAACACAAGAAAATCTTTTTAATCTAGCATCCATACAATATTCGCCATCAATTCTTGTATCAAAAATAAAAATCCGTTCAACAATAGAAAAATTGAAAAGCAACAAGAAATGGCTTTCGTAGGAAAATAATAAAGAGATATGACAGGCTAAGTCTAAACCCATAGGCTTATTCATGGTTGGGAGGGCATTCTATCAAATGTCAGGAGACGACCTTTTTGGAATTGTTTTCACCGTGGCCATCGTCCCGTGAAATCAACGGTATCTTTAGGTACAATATAAACATCCTTTGCTAGAAATGTATTCTCTAGCTTTACAGTATTTCTATGTTCTATTAGGAAGTGAACGTCTACTCTTAACGTACCTTATATTATGAGTGGACGTTCGATATGTCTTGTATATGGCATGGTTTAAGTCTTTAGAATTGGGATGTCGACAGGGTATGAAAATTAAAAATCTAATTAGTCCGTAAGTTATGTAATTAAAAAATATTAGACACGTATTTTTTATTTTGTCTTATAATAAACCAATACTTAGATAAAACGAATCAAAGTTCAGTAGTGGGGGCTAAAACGTCATTTCTACGTATAAAATGTACATAAAAGTGACGTCACGCGACATTTCAAATCAATATATCGTCGAAAGTATTCGTTTCTGTAAGAAAATAAAAAATACGTGTGTAGTGATTTAAAATAACCAGACGGACATTAAAATAAAAATTAGTCGTCTACCCTATTCAGAACTTGAGTATTGTAGAGGACTGAAGATTGGAATGAGGTTGTCAGTTTTCCCTGAATCTATGTATATGTATGTTTGTGTGCTACGTTTGTTACACTTCAGAGAAGATTTAAGTACATTAATTCGACTTCCAAAAAAGAAGGGTTTGAAGTCGGATTCATTAAACGCAGTTTTTAAATAAAAGAGTTGTTGTGCTTTCTCGTTTTGAGAATATTGGTAATAATAATATTATTATATTGGTTTGGTAATAAGAACGTAAAAATTCGGGGTTTTTAAGTAACTGTGTTTTTATAATAACTCTCATGAGGAAGGAAGCTGCTCATGAGAAAGAACCCCTCTGTGGTTCGAAACTAGTAGAGCTTTTCTTAATACACGTGAGTAACCAGCGATTTTAGTTCATTGGAATAACTGTTTTGTCGCTATTCCTTGTGTTTGAGTAAATGCTGACATTTTAGTATTGTCTGTATTTTAGTTATCCAATATAGAGGTAACTAAAAAAATAAGACCCGAAGTATCCATTCTGACAAGGACACAGTTGAACTGTGTCAAGAAAACCCGTGGTAAAATTTTGAGACATATTTTGGGAACTCAACACTAAAATTAAATTTCATTCACTTTGTTACGTACAACGACAATGTTTAAGTTTGCTCGATTACCATTCTATAGTACACAAGTATCAATTAGAATAAGTTTTGTGTCCCTATTCAATTATTCACTGAATCGCCAAGGGACCGGAAAACGTTTAGGAAACTTGGCGAGTTTGTCGATCGTTTTCGAAATAGACACGTAAACGACAACGATCAAAGGTTGCCTTCAATTTAGTGAAATTATTCGGTGTCCTGTATTACTGCCAACTTGAACTAAACTTTTAAGTTCTGTGTGTAACCACTGCTATTATTCGTATATTATAATATGACGTGGATGCATTTTATTAGAGTAGATTCCACATTACTAAACTGTACTATTAAAAAACATACACGTATCATACATCAATATATGTATACCTCTAGTATCTACAGTGTACTATGCATATATCCCTTTGTACCTTTGTTACCTTTGATTTCTTGTATGGCCTGTTTTTAGTAATTTTTAGTTTTCATAAATTGAACAAAATTTATTATAGTAAAATGGATTAACATTTGGGAATTGTTTATGTAATTTGATATAAATGGATTATGTACAGTTGTAATTGGACTTCAGGTTCGCTCACTATTTATAATTGAGATTGTTGTGTACGATTTCAATCTGTCGTCTGTATCTGTACTTATGTAAAATAAATAAATAAATAAATAAATAAATATATTAGGGATGATGACAGCGTATGAAAATTAAAAATCTAATTATTCCGTCGGTTTGGTAATGAAAAAATATTAGACACGTGTTTTTTTTTTATTTTGTCGTATAAGAAAACAATACTTAGATAAAACGAATCAAAGTTTATGAGGATTTCCATCGCGATAAAAAAAAAGGTGTTGGTAGCTATGTCATTTTAGAGCATAAATCGTACTCGAAAGTGACGTCATGCAATATTTAAAATCATCGTGCGTGATAATGTTACTTTTAGACCGTCGAGTATTCAATAAATGCATTAGTCTCATATTATATTGTCATAGAAACAATAACAATTCGCGAAAAATAACTGTAAACAACCAACAACCCATTTATAATATTTCTTTGTATTATTTAAGAACATATATCTCAAAATAAAATCCGGGGCCCCACAAACACTCTGACACCTGCATTCGAGTCTCCATCAATCAATTTATTTTGACACGCTTTTTCAATCCCATATAAGCTAAGGGTTTGTTCACTTCCCTGTGGAAAAGAAAACACACACATTTACTTAAAATACCTTTTTCAAATAAAATTACATGAATTTCCATGATACATGGTTATTAACATTATCTATAGAAGTATTTTAACTGTCATACAGGACATGCATTTAGTTATTTTTATGTGATGACTCGTTCCTACCTGTGGCTTTGCTCGCCTGCTGTGTTTTTAAATGTCGTAGTGTAATGTTAGATAACTTTCAAGTGTCCATTAAAGGACAATTAGATGTAAAATACATAGTTCGTAGTTAACCATAGATGGTTCTAGACATTATACAACTTTTATAGTTCGCGGCAAGAAGTAATAAAATATTATACATAAAGCATCTTAATTTTTATTGTAGTAATTGTTAGTATGATGATGCAGTAAAGAACAAGGAATCCT